CCCATTTACATTTCTATTATGCTTGAACGAGAAATGTCCCCCCTTTGGGAATGGCCTAAAGACACTTCAGTCAGTGGCACTGCCCCGGGGGTGTTGGAGTGGTTTGCTCCTTCTTTCTTAACGAATACTTGTCGTCCTTATCTCTCCTCAATCCTTTCTTTGTATGTTACCTTCTGGTAACTCGTCTAATCTTTGGCCTTTACGTGACCTATTTGAGTTGCAGGTGCCGTAAAATTGTTTTATGTGTACTAAAAGTGAAAGACGGAAACGGGCTGGTGACATCGGCAGAATGAAAGACAACAGATGGACCCCAAAAAGAGTGCGCAATCGAGACCAAGAACTGGGAAAAGATCTAATGGGAAACCAGAAAGAAGATGGCTGGACGACATCAAAGAGCGGATGGGTAATTACACCCTTACAGCGTCGAGAGGAGGAAGAGCTTTCTGTCTCTCTCTTTTTTTTTCTTTTTTTTTTTTTTTGGTAAGTGTTTTGCGGCGCTCGCAACTGCATAATGTCATATGAGCTCGCGGGACACATTAAACATTTTCAGTTGGTTGGAAATTTTGAATTTTGTCCGGGTGGCGGCCTAAGCTACTCTAAATTGATTTTAGACCGTCAAGGGATCTTTAACGTGCACAACATGCACACGGGACCTCCGAGATTTTTCGCCCTTGTCCGAGAAGGCTAGGTGTTGATCTTTCCTACCAGAAGATCAGGGGTGTGCCTGAAAGACTGCAGTAGGAAGAAGCCAAGGAGTAGCAGTAGAAAGGCTGCAGAAAGAGTCAGGAGCCCAGAGGAGGGGGCAAAGAAAGTGAGGAGGTGGGGGCAGATAGTGGAGACGGAAGCAGGCGATTGTTGAAGAGCAGGAGAGGGGGTAAAAGGAGACAAATTTAGAGAAGAAAAATACTTTTCCGTCGCTACCAGGAATCGAACTCGCTACCTTTGAATGAGAGGCGAACACCTTAACCCCTAGGCCACGAGAGCCCCCTTTCTGTCTCTAGCAAGCTGGATGGATGGCCTGGCTAGGTGGGATGTTGTGTGTTTTCAGGGTACCCTTTACACCCTCGATCCAGGCCTTGATTGGTCTTCCTCTTGCCATGTACCCTGATATTCTTTTGTAGTACGCTTAACTGGAAAGCTGGTGAGGTGAGAGGACGCACAACGCCTAGAAATAAAGGAGGTAGTCTGCTTTGGCCCTGCCTGCCAGAGCCACCAAGCCCGACTGAGTGAGAGGGATATAACGTCCCAGAAGAAAGACATGGGTATCAATTTGATGAAAACTCTCCCCACTCGGAAATCGAACTCGGTTCCTTTGCATGCGACAACGAAGCCGATAAAAAAAAAGAGAAGAAATTTTTTTTTCGGATAATGACAGTTTGGCTCAATTCCATCTACTACTTTACTTTTCACTTTTTCTTTTTCATACTCTGTTGCCGTTTAGCGTCGAGGGGAAATGCAGTTTTCTATGGTATTCTATGGTTTTCAATTCCATCTAATCCTGCAAAATCAAACAAATTTGTTTTTCAAGGTCTCAAGTGGAAATGGTTGCATCAATCGTCAGTCAGGTAAGAACAGCCAATCACAAGGCTTGTAACCAACGAGTCATGATATTATGACAATGTGATGTCAAGGTTATATCCTTAGTTTAGCGTGCCGAATGCGACAACGGATGGTGTGATCTGGAGAGGCTGATAGGAAGCTATCGAAATATCCATGTCTGTGGGATTCAACAACTTCTCAACACAGCAGCCGCGATATGTGGCAGTCGGCACTTGAAGTCATTCTGCAGACTACAAGTGTGCTCAGTAGCTACAGTGATTGTCTTTTTTGCATGTGTTCTTTGTGAGGTAACAGATGAACATGTAATAGAAAGGGATGTTGTACGTTGAATGGGCATGAATTAATGTTAATTTTTAAAAATTGGGAAGCGCCTAGAGCTACTATTTAGAGAGCGAAGAACCGATGTTGTTTCTTTTTCTTCTTCTTCTTCTTCTTCTTCTTCTTCTTCTTCTTCTTCTTCTTCTTCTTCTTCTTCTTCTTCTTCTTCTTCTTCTTCTTCTTCTTCTTCTTCTTCTTCTTCTTCTTCTTCTCCTCCTCATCCTCCCCCTCCTCCTCCTCCTTTTTCTTCTTCTTCTTCTTCTTCTTCTTCTTCTTCTTCTTCTTCTTCTTCTATCTATCTATCTATCTATCTATCTATCTGTCTATCTATCTATCTATCTATCTATCTATCTATCTATCTATCTATCTATCTATCTATCTATCTATCTATCTATCTATCTATCTATCTGAAACAACAGTCTCCGCCTCAGCACAGCAGGAACCCCAAGTCCGTCTACCCTGTCCTGCCTACTATTAGTGGTCCCAACACAGTTTACCGTCAACAAGACCTTGACAAAACAGAGAACAGCTAGAGGCCAAGGTGTTGCCCACGGGTCCAGCCCTTGAGTGTCCACCAAGTCCTGTCTGTGTGACTGTGACTCTGGTGGTAGCAGCGCTCCCTCTCCGACTCTGATGACGTCACGTGATGACGCCTCTTCTCCGACTCTGATGACGTCACGTGGTAACGCCTCTTCTCCGACTCTGATGACGTCACGTGGTAACGCCTCTTCTCCGACTCTGATGACGTCATGTGGTGACGCCACATCTCCGACTTTGATGACGTCACGTGGTAACGTCTCCTCTCTGACTCGAATGACGTCATGTGGAAACGTCTCCTGACTGACCCTGATGACGTCACGATTTGACGTTCTCTGTCCGAATAAGACGACGTCACGGGGCGTGAGGAACCAGGTATGTGCGAGGAACATTACAATGTCTTGGTGACGAGCCATCGTGGCTAGTTCTAGAGGCGACATAGGCTTCCGCTGGCAGGCTACTGACTGGTGGTGTAACACCCTTTGAACCTGTCGTGCGTTGTATACTGTCGGAAACGCCCCGAGAGACACAATCCTCTGAACATCCTCCAACCGCCCCCTCGCGACAGCGCACAGCAAGGCTAGATTCTTGTCCGAACCTGCGGATAACAAAAGGTCGATGATTTCTAGTTCGTGTGGGTGATTGGTGTCTGATTGTGGGGCCTCCCGTCGTTTAACCCCTTTAGTACTAAGAACAGAAATGTCTTCTGCTTTGTTGGAGAATTGTGGGGCATGATTGGTAAGGGAAGGGTTAACACCGTTACGCACTGTTTGTTCGACTACTGTATTTAAAGGAATTTTTCCTGTACTGCTGGCTGCATTGACGTCAGCACCTGCTGACACGAGAGCCTTGACCACTGTCCAGCGCTGGTGCATCACAGCATACGCTAGAGCTGTGTGACCATGTTTGGCTTGTAGGTCAAGGTCACACCCGGCTTTGATCAAGACGTCAATAACGTCATGACGTTGGCTGTGTGCTGAGATCATCAAAGCCGAGCTTCCTAAATCGTTCT